ACAATGAAAAAGAAGAAGCCGGGAAAGACTGGGCATTAGGATTTTTAAAAGGCACCCAGAACTGTCTATTAGACAGCCTGAAAGTACCTCATCCGCACGTGCTGCTGGTTTCAATAAACAGGTGGTAGACCAGTTTTTCAATTTTTTGGGCAATGTTTACGATGAACATCATCTAACACCTGATCGTATATACAACTGCGATGAAACTGGTATTTCAGTTGTGCCCAAAACCAAATCAAAAATTATCGCAAGAAAGGGCAGAAAGCAAGTGGGAGCCATAACATCTGCTGAACGAGGTACGACCATTACAGTAGAAATCTGTTTTAGTGCTAGTGGTAATTTTATGCCACCCATGATGGTATATCCTAGAAAAAGAATGGATCCGCAACTTATGATTAATGCTGCCCCCGGAGCTTGGGGAGTTTGCAGTGATTCGGGCTGGATGACTTCAGAACTTTTCCTAGATTGGTTTAAAAAGTTCGTCAAATTTAGCGGAGCAACACCTGAGCATTCTGTTTTGTTATTATTGGATGGACATAGTACTCAAACGAAGAACATTGATCTCATAAATGAAGCACGCACTCACGGCGTTATCATTTTATGTTTCCCACCACATACAACTCACCGTCTTCAGGTTGCAGACGTTGCTTACATGAGACCGTTAAGTACCTACTACGATCATCAAATCATGGCGTGGCTTCGCAGCAACCCAGGGATGACTGTCACTGTCCGACAAGTAGCTGAAATTTTTGGAAAGGCGTTCATACAAGCGTCTACGATGTCAACAGCTGTCAATGGTTTTAAGAAATGTGGGATTTGGCCATATGATCCAACAGTGTTCTCTGAGACCGACTTTGCTCCATCTTTGATGACAGATATTCAGCTTAATGTATCCGACGCACCTGCAAGCGATAATAGTTCGTTGATAATGGAATCGTCATCCACAAAACCAGCAACAAATAATCAGAATGCGCCAATTATATCTGAAGCCATTTCTGTTGCGGCAACTTTGACGGATACAGCAGTGACGCCAGTAACAGTGGAAACAGAAACATTGTCGAGACTTGATACTGCCGCTAGTATTTCTGCGAGTACGTCACTATCAACTAATCTGGTTACTGCACTTACTGTGCTACCTAATACAATGTCAACCCCTGAACCAGGATGTTCTTACTGGCTCGATAACTCCGATCTAGACGAAAGACCACGAACTCCGCAGCAATCAATATTTGATGTCGTAAGTCCGCAGCAAATAATACCCTTTCCAGCAACTACAAAAACATCTCGCTCAACTAGAAAACGAGGAAAAACCGCGGTGATCACATCTTCGCCGTATAAGAATGAGTTAGAAGAAACGATTAAGAAAAAGGAACAAGCGGAAGAGGATAAACAGAGAAAAAAAGGGTTGAGGGAACTTAAAAAATCTGAAAAAGACCCGGCAACTAAGAAGAAAAGAGTAACAAAGAAGAAACAAGGGGCTAAGAATAGATCATTAAACGAGAATAGTGACAGCGATATTGAAAATACACCTTGTTTGTATTGTAAAGGCCTATATTTGGACTCAAATGAAGGCTGGGCTGCTTGTTCAGCATGCGGCAAATGGGCTCACTGCAGCTGTGCAGGTGTGGACGACGAAGATGCAGATACCATGTTCACTTGTGAACATTGTGAACAGTCCTAAATAGTCGTTTGCTGCGTACCCCATCTTACCCACGGGGTACCCCATCTTACCCTAGGGGTGGGGCATGATGGGGTGAATGGTGTATTTCTACTTTTTGATTTTTTTTTAATTTTATTATGTTGATAAGACTGCCAAATACTCGTTAACAATGAAGACTGATTATCTAAGAAGATTATAAGAATAAAACAAATTAATAAAACTCTTTACGGTCAATTTTATTTAACATCAAACCTTAAGGACCCCGTCTTACCCCACTCTCCCCTAGTACAGGTACATTTAGGTCGAATTCAGATATTTTTAGTTCTTTACCATTTACATAAAATTATTTGATTTGATTAATGCATCATTTTCCCTAATTCCTTGTTATAGTAAATTTTGTGACAAATAAAATTACGGTTCTTAAATGCTAGTTTATTATTGTATTTTATAAAATAATACACAATTTCAGCTTTAAAAATATTTGTAATAAAATATTAACCATCCTGTTGATCAAAAAATATTGATATAAAATTTTCACAATAAGCGCCTGGCTAATTACGCTACGCAAAATTACATAATCTCATAAATTGCTAATCGTTTTTCGGACGGCGTAATTTTTGAAGAACTCGTTGCAAAAATGACACAATGCCATATGAGTAAAGAAACCGTACCGTAGGTATTCTTTACTCATGTGACAATACTATGATTAAGAATTTGACAGAATTCATTTAATCGAATTCTTCACTAGATGATCCTTATAATTTTCAAACAAATCCAGCAATTGACGATTGAAATCGGTTTTTATTTTTTAAGCAATTTTTTACGTAAGTTGCTGCACTTTACAGACCATGTAGTGGCGGCATACGAATATCATCACATAGGTGTCGTAAGAGGCGACAGAGGTAAACAAATCAGAAGATGGGTAAGCAGCGTCTCTCTAATAACGAATAAAAATATAAACTGCCGTTGCCAAACCCCTTGCCAAGCGTGGCAGCTACGGCAAATATCCCCCCTATGAGGAAATCCACTACCCCATATCATCACATAGGTGTCGTAAGAGGCGACAGAGGTAAACAAATCAGAAGATGGGTAAGCAGCGTCTTTTTAATAACTAATAAAAATATAAACTGCCGTTGCCAAACCCCTTGCCAAGCGTGGCAGCTACGGCAAATATCCCCCCTATGAGGAAATCTATGGGTTCAGCGGTGAACTTTAGTTGGCTGCAACGGTAACGTTAATGGTACTGCACTTTTACGCGTTGTACCTAAATTGTTAAAATTTAATTATCTTCACATAAATATACTTTCCCCAAGTCACCGAAACCCATTTTCATATTTTGTCATCTTATAGGATTTTTTAATCTTTCATAAAACACCGAAGTAGTTACATTAAGAAGTTCATAATTATAAAATTAAAAAAAAAGAAAAACTACCACACTAGTGAACACTCTAGACTATATTTTCAAGATTTACATAAAACATGTTTTAATTTCTTAAAATTAAGCTCATAAATTAATATGAAGTACAAGCATTAAAAATTATAATTGCAAATTGTTACAATGCCAAATTGCAAAGTACTATGTTAAGAGAATAATGTTGATAAGTTGATTATGTTCACGTGCACTGCCTTACTAATTCTTTATAATGCCTTCGCGTTTAAATCGGGCGGATGTGTCACTCTTACTGCATACGCACACGCAAGGAAATTGAATAAAAAGAAATATGATAGTGTCATCTTGTGGCAGACAGAATCCCGTGCAGACAGCTTTCATGTAGACATAAGACCGTACGCAGTTTGGAGCAATGACCTACACAATCTATACTTCCTCCGACCGACATTATCATGCTAATCACTAAATTACAAAACGGTCGCACCGAATTAGGACTAAATGTCATAACATTCTACTTCGTAAAAAACTTGTTGAAAAAAAGGTAAACATAGCATTAAAAATAGGTTAATGAAAAAAAACGAAGGTAATGTAAAATTAAAATTAATAATCCACCAGTAATTTAATGTCATTTTCATTACGCACACGGTACTAATATAACTAACAGAGTACTACACCCATTTTCAAATAGCATTTTAAATGAATCCTTGAGTGATAATGAGCCACTATAATTTTTATATAATTTTTTAAAATCGATTAGTGCCATAAAGATTACTTTTAATCTACCTTTTTAAATTTTTCTTTGCTGTTCAGCGTGTGTCGTCACTGCTCTAGTAAATTTTAAAACCAATTTGCTGCAAAGATATAAGATAATTTTTGGATGTTTAATAATGAGTTATCATCTTTGTCATTGGTTTGTTGTGCCTGAATGCAAAAATAAGAGCATAAGAAGAAGGGGAAGTTGGTTCAAGTGCCAACTGACTTAAATATGAGAAATACTTGGTTAAAACTGCCAAGAAGAGACCCGAAGACATGGTCTACAAAAACTAGACTATACTTCTGTAAAGAACACTTTGATGTAAGTAAAAATGTAGTAAAGTAGTAGTAAAGTTACATGAAAGTATGACTTATATTTAGCTATCGTTTATACAATACAAAACATCATGAGGTGATGGGTATCGCAAGTCAAATTTTGTAATAAATTTGGTGTTAGATTGTAATTCGGGTAAACATAACTATGTGTTATCAAATTACACTCTGACCTTATTTCGTTATTGTATAAACAAAAGTTGTTAATAGATACTTTTTTAAGTTTTAAGGTGAACGCACATTATACAAGCCGAACACGTCGAACGAAACGAATTTTTAAATTCTTTATATAAAATCGTATGAAACCTCGAAAACCTGAGGGAATCGTCCGAATCTAGAAGAACCCCAGAAATCCTAGACGAATTGGGATGTCGTCATCAGATTCGGCGCGGGCGAAGCGGTTGAATTGAATCGAATTGACCGATGCGCTCGCATTCTGACAGTTGCGTGCGACAAAGCAACGTGCGAGCACTAATTCTTTTTTTAGATGAGTGAATCTAATTTAATTGAATTAGTACTTTCTTCATCTTCTGTTAATAAGCTACTGACAATAAAAACTTGTCAAGATCCATCACAATTCACATGTAATAAGTGCTATAGGTGTAAAAGAAAATGCAAACGATAATTTACAGCGCGGTCGATTCTTTTAGTACGGTGGATTATTTCGTTGCGGATACGTGTGCGACGCACTATGGGACAACCGGGTGTCTTTCGTCTCAAACTTCATATTTCATTTGTTTCAAAATTAATTAAGCTGTAATTTCACATATGTATTGTTGAAGCGCCTGTCAAATTATATTAGCAGTTCTCATGCCAATATTAGTCCGTAAGCTGTGTAGGTATGTTTAAAAAAATGTTGTACCTGTCGTCGTTGTAAAAATTAGAGATCAAGTAAAGGTCGATTGAGCAAATTACTGCATTTTACTATTAAAAAGAGATCAAATTCCTATTCATGGTCCTAAATCGAAGCCGGATTTGAAAAAACGTAATTGGACAAGATATTATTTAGTGGAATACGCTTGGGAAGTCTTAAATATTCGTTGTGGAAATACCACCGAGGGAGTGAAGATATTTAACCAAGAAATCTGGAGTCTTAGCCCCTTAGATATTGGACTATTATTTAATTTATTTAACCCAGCACTCATTATCAGGTAGTATTTTGTGTAAATCGACTGCTAATTTATCAGGTTAGTACCAAATTACCTATAAAATAATTACGTATAACTTAAAGTATTTAATCGGCTAAAATTCATTTAATATTGTTTTATATAGTTTCTAATAACCGTCAAATCATGATTAAATCAAATTATAAAGCTTAGTTAAATTATATTGACGATATTATAATTTTTTTTTCTCTCTTTATTGGTTTAAACTGTTTTTTAAAAAATAAGTCAAGAGAGTGTATAATTGAAAAAATTGCATAATATTATTTATTACATACTAAGGCATACCTGTGAAGCTGTTTGATGGTCTGAATTGTATTTGTTACCCTTAATTGTTGTTAATTATAAAGTTAAATATCAAGGTAGTACATGTACCATTTTGTTTAATTATTTAAGAGTTTGAAAAATAAGTAAGGGAATTAGTTTTCATTTCTTTACAACTGTAAGCAAAATTGTATAAAACTACTTATGAATTATATTTTATAAAATATAAACTTCTTGTTTGTATAAATTTCAGGCATTTGCACTAGTCTCCCAATACCAGCCAGCATGCCAGAAGATAAGGAGCAAATTAGGAAACGAGCTAGTTACAAGGGACAAATAACAGCTTTTTCAAATTATTTAAATTCACTGAAGGTATCTTCATTGGCTGCTACTGAGGTAAATGAGTTGCAATTACGTATTAGTAGGATTGAGTCAATGTATGAACGATATGATGAGGTACAATTATCCATCGAGTGTAATACTGATAATATAGACGCCCAGATATCAGAACGAACTGATTTTGAATCCCTGTATTTTAAATCGCTTTCTCTTGCAAAAAGGATCTTAGCAGATTGCATTAAGTCAGATGACGTAAGCAGTGACGGTGGCTCTCATTCCGGCAATCATAAATTTGTTAAACTGCCCACTATTCAACTACCTAAATTTAATGGTTCTTATGATAATTGGTTAGAGTTTCATGACACGTTCATGAGCCTCATACATTCAAATGACGAGATAGATGACATAAATAAGTTTCACTATCTGAGAGCGTCGTTGGAAGGGCCCGCTGCTGTGGTAATACAGTCAATCGAATTCTCGGCAGCTAATTACACCGTCGCATGGACTATATTATGTGATAGATATGATAATAAAAGACTACTAATTCAAAATCACGTGACAGCCTTATTTAATATAGCACCAATTAATAAAGAATTGTCTGTCAACTTAAAACGTCTTATTGACCAAATAAATAAAAATTTACGTGCACTAGAATCTCTCGGTGAGCCAACTAAACAATGGGACACACTTCTCATTCATATTATTACTCAAAAATTAGATGCTAAGACATATCGTGAATGGGAAGAGTCTAAAGGTCGTTTGGAGAAAGATACACCTATTACGTTCGATATATTTTTGATGTTTTTAAAAAATCGAGCCGATTTAATCGAAACACTAGAAATGTCTAATTCTGGTGCTACTAACCGTTTAAATTCTTCTATAAAATATGCTCCAAAAGTTAAGGCAATGGTTTCAGTGCGGGATACCGGTAATAAAAACGGTTCGGCCTTTTCCGCCAAACTGTGTCCTAAATGTAAGGGTGACCATAAGTTAAGCAGTTGTCCTCAGTTTCTTGGATTAAGTAACGATGTGCGTCTACAGTTACTGCCAGAGTATAAAGTATGTTTCAATTGTCTTAATTCAGGACATTATGCAAATCACTGCAAAAAGCCAGGATGCAAAATATGCCACCGAAAGCATAACACTCTCGTGCACGTCGCAGATTACCAGTCAAAACTAATTACAGATATTAATACATCTAACACGAGTAGTGGTAATAATAAGCCCGTTATGCAAGGTCATTTCGAACAAACAAACAGTTCGACAGGCTCACAGTTGTCATCCAATTCTAACGCACATCTGTCATTATCCGCAAAGGTAGGCACTGCATCGTGTAGTGAACAAGGCGACGTATTGTTATCGACGGCATTAATTAAAGTTATAGGTAAGAATGGTTGTCCATATATTGCTCGTGCTATTCTTGATAGTGGCAGTAACGCTTGTTTAATAACTGAAGAGTTATATCAAAGGCTAGGTTTGCCCGCTCAAAATGTAAATCAGTCGGTAGTCGGTATTAATAATGCTTCGGCACACATCAAGAAGATTTGTAAGGTATCGATAAAATCATTGAATGATAACTTCTCTAGTAATCTTCATTGTTTTGTCCTACCATCAATAACCCAAAATGTACCTACTAGATATGTTAATTTGTCAAACTTAAAAATTCCATCTAATATTTCTCTGGCAGATCCTAATTTTCACTCACCTGCTCCCGTTGACATGCTTATAGGTGCTGATGTCTTTTGGGACTTAATAGGAACGCAGAGATTAAAATTAGGGGACGGTCAGCCGATTCTTTGTGAAACTAGCTTAGGATGGTTAGTATCAGGTCCGATAGATTATAGATATGTAAAGAAAGGGGTTAACTTTATTAAATGTAATTTTACAAGAATATTTCAAGATGAGGCTAGTAAAGATTTAGATGAAGATATACAAAAACAATTAGTACGCTTCTGGCACCTCGAAGAGGTAAGCCCTGCGTCTCTTTATTCAAACGAAGAAAAATTATGCGAAGAACACTTTTTAAAAAACACCACGCGACTGGCAAATGGTCGATTTTGCGTGAGGATACCCTTAAAACATAATCCTGACGTATTAGGTGATTCTTGGCCACGAGCTAAAAAGTGTTTACTATCGCTAGAGCGCAGGTTAGCAGGTCAATCTCAGGTCTATGAAATGTATAAAGAATTTATGTCAGAGTATGAAAGTCTGGGTCATATGGAGAAATGTGAGAATGATAATTTACCACGTAAGATGCATTTTATACCACATCACGGTGTGCTTCGGGAAAGTAGTACTACTACTAAATTAAGAGTCGTTTTCAATGCTAGCAGTCCGACTTCTTCGGGTGTTTCCTTGAATAATATACAGATGGTAGGTCCCGTGGTACAGGACGACCTTTTGTCCATTCTTTTACGCTTTCGGCTACACAAATACGTTCTCACAGCTGATGTTGAGAAAATGTACCGGCAAATAGTCATTCATCCCGATGACCGCTATTTGCAACAAATTGTCTGGCGTGATAACCCTTCAGAACAGCTTCAAGCTTATCAACTTAACACCGTGACTTACGGCACCTCTAGTGCTCCCTTTTTGGCAACTAGGTGCCTCCAACAATTAGGCTTAGAGTGTACCGATGACAAGGTTGCTCAAGTGATCATTCACGATTTTTACGTTGATGACTTGCTAACGGGAGGGGATGATATTAACGAGGTTACAGATTTGCGCCGTAAAGTGACTTCCACACTTGCATCAGCTCATATGGTTTTGCGAAAGTGGAAGTCGAATGAATCTCAACTGGTTAGTGAAAATGATATTTCTCCGCTTGATTTGAATATTGGTGGCTTTGAACCGACTAAAACTTTAGGCCTTGGTTGGCAATCACATACTGACCAACTTTGTTTCCCTATAGGAGGGCTATTCTCAGGTAGAACAAAGCGTGATATGTTATCTGTGATTTCTCAGATTTTTGATCCACTAGGACTTCTATCTCCCTGTGTAATTAAGATGAAAATGCTTCTTCAACAGTTGTGGCTGCTCAAGCTGTCATGGGATGAGCAGTTGACGCCAGAAATCAGCAAGATGTGGGCTGAGATAATAGTCGATTTACCTAAATTAAATACTCTACGTATTCCACGTCGTGTTATTTGTGACTCGCCTAGTTTGTTTGAATTTCATATTTTCTCGGACGCTTCTGAGCGAGCATATGGCGCCTGTTTATATGTGCGTAGTGTTAATGATCAGGGTGAGGTTTTAATTCAATTATTGATGGCGAAAAGTCGTGTCGCGCCGCTTAAACCTATAACAATCCCAAGACTGGAACTTTGTGGTGCACTTGTTGGAGCTCGCCTTTACCAAAAGGTTGTAGCATCGCTGAGACAACAGGCTAAGCGCACTTTCTTTTGGACAGATTCGTCCATCGTGTTAGGATGGTTAAAGGTGTTACCTAGCAAGCTACAACCCTTTGTCAGAAATAGGGTTGCTGAAATATTAGAGAAGACTGGAAATTGCGAGTGGAGGCATGTCCCAACAGAGTGTAATCCGGCCGATCATATTTCTCGCGGTGTGAGTTGTAAGGATATTTCATCCATGAGTAAGTGGTGGTCAGGACCTGAATTTTTAAAGAAAGAGGTCTCTCACTGGCCTGCAAATTTCTTAAGTATTAATCACGAGTTGCCTGAGATTAAATCGTCAAATGTTATCCTCCACGGAATACTTCATTCTAGCAACAATGAAGATTTAGGTGGGAATAAATTAATTGAATTTAAACGCTTTTCTAAATATACTAGATTAAATCGGACCGTTGCTTATGTGCTGCGTTTTATTAATAATTGTAGAAAGCAATCCGTTCACGGTCCTCTAAGCAATCAAGAGTTGCAAACCGCACTCAATGTTATTATAAGAATATCCCAGAGTGAATCATTTGAGGAATACACCATGTTAATTAAAAATAAAAGTTTACCCACTAAAAGTCCGTTGCATAAATTTAATGTATTTCTCGATGATAATAAAATAATGCGTGTTGGAGGGCGTCTTGAAAATTCCGATTACTGTTATGAGAAAAAACATCCCATACTTATACAGTCCACTCATTATTTTACCAAATTGCTCTTCAATTATGAGCACATAAGGTTAATGCACGCGGGACCACAGCTAATGTTGGCCACTATAAGAGAGATGTACTGGCCGATTAGAGGTCGTAATTTGGCCAGATCTTGTTATCGACAATGTGTAAGATGTAATAGAATGAAAGGAAAAACCATCTCTCCAATAATGGGCAACCTACCACACCAACGCATCCTTTCTGGTTTTCCATTTCAAAATATTGGACTAGACTATGCGGGACCAATTCAATCTGTTTCTCGCCATGGCCGTGGTTGTAAAATTGTAAAGGTGTATATAGCTATTTTTATTTGCTTCGCGACTAAGTCAATTCATCTTGAATTAGTGGGTGATTTAACTAGCAATACCTTCATATTAGCTTTGCGCAGATTTATGTCTAGAAGAGGGAAACCTCTTAATATTTATTCGGATAATGGTACCTCCTTTGTAGGCGCATACAATGACATTTCAAAATTTATTAGGACGTGTTGTAATTCTTTATCTGAGGTAATGGCAAATGAAGGAATTAATTTCCATTTCATACCGCCTTATTCTCCCCATTTTGCTGGGCTTGCGGAGGCTGGTGTCAAATGCATTAAATATCATTTAGTTAGAGTGCTGGGCAATTGTAATGTGACTTACGAGGAACTAAATACCACATTAATACAAATTGAGGCTATACTTAACTCCAGACCACTCACACCTTTGTCAACGAATCCTGAAGACTTGCTACCACTAACGCCCGGTCATTTTTTGATTGGACGCCCCTTGACTTCCTTGCCGACACCAGACTATAAAGATCATTCCGTAAGCTCTTTAACCCGATTTCAACGAATAGAACAATTACGTCAACATTTTTGGGCTAGATGGAGCAAGGAATATATATCAGAGCTTCAACTGCGGATGAAATGGCGTTCCTGTAAAGGCTCTTTGAAGTTAAATTCACTGGTACTCCTAAAAGAGGAGAATTCACCGCCATTAAAGTGGAAGATGGGTCGCATCGTCGCAGTCCATCCAGGCTCGGACGGCGTATCAAGGGTGGCGGATATCAAAACATCGACTGGTATAGTTCGCCGATCATTTAGCAAAATTTGTCCGCTTCCTGAACCTGAAGAATCTGGTTGAAAGGTAGACTTTCAACGCCGGGGGGCATGTTGAAGCGCCTGTCAAATTATATTAGCAGTTCTCATGCCAATATTAGTCCGTAAGCTGTGTAGGTATGTTTAAAAAAATGTTGTACCTGTCGTCGTTGTAAAAATTAGAGATCAAGTAAAGGTCGATTGAGCAAATTACTGCATTTTACTATTAAAAAGAGATCAAATTCCTATTCATGTATACTTGGATAATTAGGGTCTTTATTGAAAAAAAATATTTTATTTTATTTTATTTCATTGCCCCTAATAGATAAAATACAATTTTATCAAGTTGTGTGGTCAATTTTTGGCCACAATACCTAGTCAGGTCATAAATTCTGTCACATGTTTAATATAAAATAATTGAAACAAGTTTATTCATTATGTAACCATTTATATACCAAAATGAACTTAACAAAACATGGATTCTTATGACACTAAAGTTTATTCAAAATGACCTCCGTGATTTTGAATACAGGCCTTCAATCTGCGCGGCCAGTCGTCTATCGCAGCACGAACGAGGTCCATGTCAATATCGGCGGCTGCCTTAATCAAGGATGCCTTGAGTGACTCCAAATTGGGATGAGGCTTTGAGCACGCTTTTTCCTCCAAGTGTTGCCATATCTTATAATCTAACGGATTCAAATCTGGACTGGAGGACGGCCAGTCTTCGTGCCGGATGAAGTCGATTTCACGCGCCGCCAGCCAGTCTTGTGTGCTCTTCGCTCTATGACCTAGCGCCGAATCTTGTTGGAATACCCAGTGCCTGTTATTGAACATGGTATGAGAAACAGGTTCGTCAGGACTGTATTTTGATACACAACTGCATTCGTTTTTACAGCTTTCTCACAAAATGTACCTCTGTTAAGCCCCAATAAGAAACTCCCAACCATACCATGAGCGAGGATGGAAAATGACCTCGTTGGACACGCGGAATACGGTTGCTCGCTTCTTCAGTACTGTGTGCGTACACCTTATCATTTTGTTTGTTGTAGCTCTCTTCTACGGTAAAAATTTTTTCATCCGAAAAAAGAATTTCCCGATATTTTTTTCCCGCGTACCGCTTCAACAAAGCGCGGCATCTCTTCAGTCTCAGGTCCATTAGACGAGCATTCAAACGATGTCCTGTTTTTCTTCGATATGCCCGAAGCCCTAAGTCTTCATTTAACACCCTTTTCACCGTGGTTCTGCTTAACCCCATCTGAAGGGCCAACAGTTTCTGCTTACGTTTGGGATTTCTTTGAATTCGCGCCTTCACAGCTTTTATCACTGCTGGAGTCCTAACAGACCGAAGGCGACCACTTCTTAACCTGTCATCTATACTAGAGTCTTCATTGTATCGTTTGATGGTACGATAAACGAATCTTTTGGTTATATTCAAATTTTTCAGTATGTTAAAAATTTGAATTGGCGCGTAACCGCAACGATGCAACGCAATAACTGCAACACGGTCTTCTTTAAGCGTCCACTCCATATTTAAAAATGAGTAAAATTTCAAAAAAATATACAGTTTTATTTTCATGAACAATTGGAAATTCGAATTCAATAAACTTTTTTGTGGCCGGCATTCTAAAAGAAAAGTTTTTACTTTGTGACAATACTTATGACCTGACTAGGTAGATATCAAATTCGAGACAATTTTTTTTGACCATAGGCAAATTAGGTCTTGAGAACTGTTTAACATAATATCTTATTTCAATAAATTTATAAATACACTACTTTATAAAAAAAAATTATCTCGCGATGTATTTTGGATCCGTCCGTATCAAAAAAAAGGAGCAAGTAAGTGCAATTTTTTTATCCATAAAAAGAGTAATGTGTGAAGATCTTAATGCAATAAATACCTCGACATCAGCAAGCATCGGTAAGAGGCAAATCTCTTGTTAAAAAAAAAGTGTAAAAATATATCATCGTCAACTATATTGGTTATTTTTTTTGTTGAATTAACTTATATAATATAATATTATTTACCAAAAATTTGGAGAAGCATATAAGCACTCCAAAAATGTAATACTTATATACTTATATGGAAAACTTTCAAGTAATGTGGCATTGAATCGTACTAACGTATTTGGTCAAAATCATCTAATTCTAATCGAGCACGACTAAGAGTTGATGCTCTTTTCTACTTATGTTGAACATAAGGTTTCTTTTATAAATTTCGTTAAAAACAGTTATGAGACGGCTTTGTATGGGGCTTTCCCATAGTGCGACGCCTCCTTGACTTCGATGCATTCGATGTATTCGGCTCGGATAAGTGTTCGTTCACCTTTAACATACCTCAACTAGGCAGAATAAAAATCGGGATTACATGCCAAAAAATTGCCATCATCAATGTATTTATTTTTGGTAGATTAGTACTTTCTGCTTTAACCAATCCGTCTTCCATGATGCCATTTTAATAAAATACGGAATAACAGTCAACAATCGTGATGATAAATTGAAAAATTTCGAAACAACACACAACAAATTAGCTTGTTTACTATAGAAGTAACGTCTTGACACTGCTGTGTTTCGTATGGTGAGTGTAGAGAACCGGAGACTCATTTTACTGGAAAAGAGGCATTCCATCTTAGTCCTCACGGGTGACGACGCATCTGCATTTTGTTTCTTTATTGAGGATAGATGTAGATGTCTATGGTCACAGCAACCAATTATAATCAGGTGGACTGTGTGCTCGTTTGTCACCCTATCCTGTATAAAAAATATCCGTCACCGGTCAAGCTCCCGCCAAAACTTCGGCGGTTAGGGTTTTGGATGTTTAAGGGACAGATTAAAAAATCTTAAAACTTAATTATAAAATTTATAATGCATTTTTATGAAGAGAAATCAATATTTCTCGTTTACTTTTCACCAAACCTATCATAAATACGTATTTTCTTATTTTTTTTACATGGTGCAAAATACTCTATTGCAATTTTAAGTGTTCATTTTTTAGGTTTACGCGAACGCTACACATTTAAATAAAACTAGATTTTACTGTTAAGTCCGAAACCACAAGCTGCGAGCCGTACTACCTAATTGCTCTCTTAAAGGAGAAGAGGCCTTTGCCCAACCGGAACGTATAGACTCTTACCAACTTTTGACTTTTAAACATAATACAAAATTAATTTAAGGTTTGCAAAAATCGTCATTTGTACTAATATCAGTAAAATTGTTATTTATAATAAAACTAGCGATCCGCCCCGGCTTCGCACGGCTGATTTCTGGATCTCGACAATAGCGCCTACCGGGTCCAATTGTGAATCAACAATCCAGGGACCCACTTAAACGCACACAAAAACTACATCAAAATCATTCGAGTCGTTTTCGAGTTCTTGCGAGACTAACAGACAGCAATTGATTTTTATATATTATACAGATTAAACAGACTCAGTTCCAAGTTAATCGAAGGTCTCATAACTATTTAGTTACCTTTATTTACGTATGCGTTTGAGTAAATCGTTACTAACGAGTTACCGCTAAACAAACTCGTAATCTATTGTATGTCAAAGCACAATCTACGCTATTCACTCTTGACACGTAGTAATTGAGTACCTTTGAGTACAGAGAACACACATTAAAATGACGAAAAGTTAAAGCGAAAATTGGCACCTATCAGCTAGAAACAGTATCCCGTATATATTGGAAACCGTGTTGGAAACCTAAATTCTAGAATGTGTTTTTTTTTTACTAACGTACATTTCTTATTCGTTAGAATAACGTTTACGTCGGAAACTCTATTGAAATATTTAGATTTTAAAACGATAGAGCTTTATTAACAATTTCAAACATACTCAAAAATAATGGACGTTATTGAAACTTGTATTGGAGATAACTATTACCAAATGCCTATGTAACAAAAGAATAACTTATCATTTGTCAGATTGGTGTAACATAAAACCACAGAATAAATAATAGTAGAAGAAATAAAATTATAATGATTTTCCGTATTGCTATTCATTCATTATAATATGGACATAATTATCTCAGGCGTCACGGTTAGCAATCACATATAATAGTATATTCACAAGCCCTCCTTTTGACGTAGTAATATGTTAGTAGTCCCAGGAACGATGCGTAGTTTATACTAACTTTGTTAATAAACGTATTAGGTATAGACTCATAAGGACTAAGGATGCCTTATTACTTAACGCTTCCCTGCCTAAACTAGACTAATTCAATGCTATCACCATAGCTTTATTAATGTGACCTATTAAAATTACACAATAACTATGAAATCAGATTAAAATCTAACTATTATTGAAATATTCATGTTGGTTACTTCAACATTGATTGTGATTACTTCCATGAAAGTAACGTAATCGGCCAAGTGCATTCGGATCTCGCTCTTTCAAATACAGTCAAACCTGGATAAATGGGACCTAAAGGGACCTGCAAATTTGTCTCACGGTATTCCACTTACCCAGTGTCTGAGATAATCCAGGTATAAATAAATATCTGTCTCATTTACAGAGGGTTCCATTAATAGAGGTGAGAAATAGAGTTTATTTCAGTTATAGAGATATTAAATAAAATAACGTATTTTGTAAACATTATACATCAGCTGTAATCTTTTCTTAACTTTAGTTTTTCACCTACTGATAAAGAATTAAGCCTTCGCTACGACATTTTCAAATAAACATCCGGACGATAGCAAAACCAAACTAAAACTGAAGATCACTTTTACACAATTAGCCAAGTGCGGAATTTGCGGGTAGAATAAGAATTAGTAAACAAAACGGTACAAAAATATAGAAAAATAGAAAAAAAAATTAGCTACTTTTATATATGGGACCCCCAAAAATATTGAAATTGATTTTCTATTTTAATATTCGGTTTTGGTTCAACATTTTACACCAAATGTCCAAAGTTTAGGTCTGTAGCTACGTCTACGAGGTTTGTTTCATACGAACGGATTGACGAAAAGACACAGACAGTCACACAGACCGACAGACAGCTAACAGAGTGACATTAATAGGTTTTCGTTTTACACCTTGGGTACAAACATTAAAAGTTATGGTGTTATGATAAGTCCTGATAACACTAAAAGCAGGTTAATTATTATTTGTTTAATGAAAATTCTGGTCGTATTCGCTTTTCTTTGAAAAAGGCGAGACAATTCATTACACACGCGTGCGTTCTCTATGAAAATTTTTCCGGTCGAAAAAGGT